CGGCCTCAGTGCCCCCGCCCACCCTCGCCCTGCGTGCCTGCCCGCCTGTCCGGGGCAGCACCCTTCCTCCACTCCACTCCACACCCCGCCTCCCCTCAATGCCGCGCACATGACTGCTCGCCTGCACCCTCCCCGTTTCCCCGTGCGCCGCCGGGCTTGCCTGCAGGTTGTGGGTGCCAGGGGGCTCAAGGGCAGCCTGGTGGACCGAATGGACGCCTTTGTGCTGCTGGAAGTGCGCAAGGGGCGGCCCCTGAAGGTGCGGTGGGGGTGCCAGGGTGGTCGGGGCGGTGCGGGGTAGGGCGGCAGCGGGGCGGCTGGCAGGGCCTGCCGGCGGTGGCGCCGCCGCTGCCTGCTGCGGGCTGCACGCGCTGCGCCGCTGCACACGCGCGCGCTGCCCAACCAAGCGCCTGCCCCCGCCACCAATCGCTCTCTCAACACTTCACACACCCAGACAGCCAGACACACACCCTGAACACACACCCTGCGCACACACCCTGTACACACACACACACACACGCATGCACGCACGCACGCACGCAACACATGCACACCCAGACACCCTATGCACACACACTCCTTGCTGTATGCCCCCCCCTCACCCCCCCCTGCAGACCAAGGTCATCCCCAACAACGAGAACCCGGCCTGGAACGAGGAGTTTGACTTTGTGGTGGACACGCCGGTGGGTGAGGGGCAGGGCGGGGGGCGGCGCGCCTGGAGGCGGCTCCCTTGCCGCCTGGCTGTGCTGGCTGGCTGGCTGACTGGCTGGCTGGCTGGCTGGCTGGCTGGCTGTGTTGGCTGGCTGGCTGGCTGGCTGTGTTGGCTGGCTGGCTGGCCGCCCCAGATGCTCCGGCCTCTGCCCGCCCACCCTCCCTTGCACTCCGCCGCGCCTGCCCGCGCGCCTCCCCGCCCCGCCTCCTCCCGAGCGCAGAAGCAGCAGGGTCTGAGCCTGGTGCTGAAGGATGACGACCTGCTGGGGGCCAGCACCGAGGGCGTGGCGGTGGTGCCGCTGGACGGCTCGGGTGGGCGGGGCGGCGCAGAGTGTGTGTGCATGTGTGTGTGTGTGTGTGGGTGGGTGTCGAGTGCGGCGGTGTGCTATTGTGGTTCCACCGGGGCAAAGGTTTCAAGGAGGGGCAAAGGAGGCGGCGGATGGCGCCTGCCCGCTCCCGCTGTGCCGCACCCCGCCCCTGCGTCAGCCCCACACCACCCCCGGTCGCCCCTGCCTGGCTCGCCCCCGCCTGCCCCCCCCGCCACCAACTCCTGCTGCTGCTGCTCCTGCTGCCCCTGCCCCTGCTCCTGATCCTGCTGCCCCTGGTGATCGTGCTGCTGCTCCTGCTGCTGCAGAGTTCATGGCCAAGCCGCGCGTGCCCGTTACCCTCACCGTGCCGCTGCGCGCCCCCGGGGAGCCGGCCAAGGCCAAGGAGCGGGCGCACCGCACCGAGAGCGGCGCGTCGGCGGCGGGTGAGGGGTGTGGTGGTGGTGGTGGTGGTGGTGCTGCTGCTGCTGCTGCTGCTGCTGCTGCTGCTGCTGCTGGGAGGGGTTGTGCTGGTGGTCGGGGTGGGGCGGGGGAGGGAGGAGGCGCCTGGATGGCGGGATTCAGCGAGCGCCCCGGCCGGGCGGCGCGCCCTGCGGTGCTTGCCCGGCCGCTGGCGCTGGCGGCGGCAGCCCCGCCTGCCTCTGCCCCCGCCCCCACCTGATGCTCACAGCCTGCGCCTATGTGCTGGTGGTGGCAGGCTCGGGGCCCAGCCCCATGGCCGACGCCGCCTCCTCCTCGGCCAGCGGCGAGAAGAAGAAGAGCTTCCTGAAGAAGGGCATCGCCAAGCTGCGGTGCGCGCCCTGCGCTGCGCCGCCCTGCACCACGCATGCACGTACTGCCGTACTGCCAGCGTACTGCTGCAGCGCGGTTGCAATGCCACCATGCCGCGGCTGCTGCTGCCTCCCGTGGAAAGCGCGCCTCCCCTCTTGCCGCCGTCTCGCCCCTTCCCGCGGCCTCGCCTGAACCCTGCTGCCTGCCCTGCCCCTGCTGCCCCCTACTGCCCCTCCCTGCAGGCGGCACAAGAAGCCAACAGACACCCCGGGCGAGGCGGCGGAGCAGGCGGTGGCGGACGCGGTGGGCGGCACGCTGGCGGGGGCCGGCAGCCCCAGGTCGGAGGCGGGTTCCCACCGCCGCGATTCGATGGACACAGGCGGCCTGGCGGTGGAGGTGGGCTGCTTGCCTGGCTGGCTGGTTGGCGCTTTGCTGTGCTCTGCTGTGTGTGCTGATTTCCATGGTGGAGGTGGGCTAGTGGCGGTGGAGGTGGGCTGCTGGGTTGGCGCCGTGCCGTGCCGTGCCGTGCCGTGTGTGCGTGTGTAGCTAGCTGCGTCTGGCGCCCGCGGCAGCAACCTGCCAGCCCTGGCAACCAGTCTGCCGCCGCCGGCGGCGCCGCCGCCGCCGCCGCAGGACTAGGATGATGATGCCGGCTCCGTGGCCAGCACGCCCCGCGTCAAGCTGCCGTCGGGTGAGAGGGGCCTGCAGCGCAAGCGCCGCTGGGGGCAGCAGCCGGCCAGGCCTGGTTGGAGGCAGCCAGCCACGGTGCGAGGGCCGCCAGCCTCCCTGCCGCCACCCGCCCGCTGTTCCGACTCGCGTCGCCGACTCGCTGCGCTGCGCCCCGCTGCCGCCGCGTGCCCTGATGTGGCTTGCTGTGCCTGCTGCCTGCAGGCGCCCCCACCGGCGCCACTGTGACCGTGGAGTGCACCTACTTCCCCTTCAAGTCCTCCCAGCCGGGTGAGCACCTGGGCAGCCCAGAGCCCTCCCGCTGAGCCCTCCCTCCCTCGCTCTCCCTCTCCTTCTCCCGCTCTCTCTCTCTCCCGCGTTCTCTCTCTCAGAGACAGCATGGGGAGGACAGAGTCGCCCATCCTCACAGCTGCCCATGCGGGGGAGCCTGCCTGCGTATTTTGGGAATCGCAAGGGCCGGGAGCCAGCCAGCGTGCCGCCCCGCCCCGCCTCGCCCCGCCATCCCACCCCACCCAGCTCCTCCCCTCCCCTTTCTATCAACGCACTCACCCCTTCGCCTGCCCCGCTGCGCACGCTGCGCACGCTGTGCAGAGCCCGTGACCACCTCCAAGCCGGGCACCAGCAAGGACGCCCCGGAGCAGGCCGCCATCACCACCGTGCGCCGCATGGTGAGCGGGAGGAAAGCGCAAGGGAACAACAGCATGCTGGGCCTGCTGCCCCAGACAGTTGGATGTACTGCTGCCCAGCCAGCCGGCCAGCGCCCTCGCCGCTGTCCCCGCCTCTCTCTCTCCCGCCCCCATGCCGGGTATCCCCCTGCCGTTCCTGTTCCTTCACCTCCACCCTCCCTGCCTCCCTGCTTGCCCCTCCCCTCCTCGCAGCTCATGAGCACCACCTCCCCCGACCTCACCAGCAAAGGCGTGCTGACGGTGGCGCTCAAGAAGTGCACAAACCTGGCGGTGAGGCTCGGTGGTGGTGGTGGTGGTGTGTGGGGGGTGGGGCGCTTGTGGCTGTGGGCAGGGCAGGCATGCAGGCGTGCGCAAGCAGGCAGGCTCCTCGCTGCGGGGCCGTGGAGGGCTGGGCGCGGCACGCGCCGGCCGTGCCGCCTTGCCTGCCCCGACCCGCGCCCGCCGACCCGTGCCCGTCGTACCGCTTCCGTACCGCTTCCATACCGCGCCGCAGAACAACCCCGACACCTACGCCATCATCACGCTGTACGACCCGTACCGCCTGCCCATCCCCAACATCGAGTTCCGGACAGGTAGGGGGCCTCTGAGGGTGGGGGGTGGTGCCTGGTGGCGAGTCAGTCGCAGCAGCCACGCCCCACCCTGCCGCGAGGGCAGGGGAGCATCCCCCGCAACCTCCAGCAACCTCTCGCGAGCGCCGCCCGCTGCCGCCCTCTTCCACACCCCTCCCACCCGCCCCCTCCTGCCCGCCCCCAGAGGCCTCCACCTCACACGCACACCGCCCTGCCGCCTGCCCCGCCCCTGCAGAGGTGGTGATGAACGAGGATTGCCCCCGCTTCAACCTGCAGTGCGACTTTGTCAACGTGTCAGGCGAGGCGCCCGCTGGCCTCCCGCTCGCCTCCTCCTGGCCCGGCCCGGGCTCGCTCTAGGACCTCGCATGCAGCGCCCTGTGCGCCCCCTCGCTTCCAGCGGACCCACCCTTGCAGCCATTTCCAGCACCCGCTCACCCTCATGCCTTCTCCCAACTGCGTTGACGCCCCACTCACCCCCAACCCCCGCAGTCGCCTCCTCCCTGTCTGTGGTCATCCACGAGAAGTCCGGCACCCTGGACGCGCTCAAGTCCTTCAAGCTGCCCTTCCTGCAAAAGGCGCGCCCGCACGCACGCACTCACGCACATGCACGCCACGCCCGCACGCATGCACGCATGCACGCCTGCACGCCGCCGCCCCGGCTGGTGCCGAGCACCGGGGCGTGCCCGCCCCGCGCCCCCTCGTGCCTCACACCTCCACCTCACACCTCCACCTCCCTCCCTCTGCTGCTGCTCCCCTGCTCTCTCCACCCCGCCCGCAGGCGGAGGACAAGGTCGTGGGGCGCATGCGCATCACGCTGGAGGATGTGGCCAAGGAGGGGCGCATCAAGGACCAGTGGCCCCTGCTGGAGGCGCAGGTGGGGGCAGGGCCGGCCGGCGCTGTGTGCGTGAATGTGTGCACGTGCTGCTCTGTGGGTGTGTCAGGTCGTGGTGCGGTGCGGGGGTGGGCTGTCGTTCTGGGGTGCAGCCTGCTGCGCCGCTTGCCTGCGTGAACAAGCCGTGCCCGCCTGTCTGCCTTTCTTTCTTCCCGCGCCGCAGACGGGCGAGGTGCACATGGGGCTGGAGTGGAACCCGATTGTGGTGGAGGAGGTGGCGGCGGCGGCCGAAGGAGTGACGGCAGAGGGGTGAAGCCAAGCCAGGCATGGCTGGGCTCCGGCCTGCCTCCGCCGCCTCCGCCTGTGCCACTATGCGTCTCTATGCTTCCAGCTACCGTCCACCGACTCGGCGGGGCCGCAGTTGCTGGCAGAGGCGGCCTCGACGTGCGCGCCTCCTCTGTGTGTGTGTTGGATAGCTCGAGGGCTGGCTGGGGGGCAACCCTTGCCGCCGCTCTCCCCCTCCTCCCGTGCATCGTATTGTGGCGCCGCACAAGGCGCCGCCGGCGTATACATTCATTGACTGACCCCTTTTCCGGCGTGTTGCCACCTCCCAACCTGCCAGCCAACACCCTCCCTCCCACCCACCGGTCCACCCTCCGGTGTGCTTCCTGCCGGCCACCCCCCTTCCTTTACTCTATTTTGCCTTTCGTGCGCTGCAATGGATTCGCAGCAGCTGCCTGCCATCTGTGCGTGTAACACTGGACCCATTACAGCAGCAGGGTCACAGAGAGAGGGAATGGTGGCTGAGTGTGGAACTTCATGTGCGGCAGGGCGCTGCCCAGTGCACGATCAGCGGGCACGATCAGCCCACCGACTGCAGCCCCAGCTCGTGCCACTTCTCCGGCTCCTTCGCCTTCTGCTCCTCCTCCACGTCTGGCAGCAGCTGGACGGTGGCGGGCAGTGGGATGTCTGCGATGCGGGGAGGCAAGCAGCGGGGACGCGGTTGGCGGCAGCGGCAGCGGGAGCGTAGGCGTAGGCGGCGGCGCTGCGGCAGGTCCCTGGTGCGGCCTCACCGTCGTCCGGTAGCCGCTCGGCAGCCCACTCCTCGTCGATCAGGTCCAGCAGGTGGGGTTCCCTGATCAGGGAGAAGTCGATCGTGGCTGCCATCGTGTGGGCGATCCGCCTCCCCCTCCCAGCACAACTAGACCAGCTGCTGGGGGGGCGTGGGACCCTTTTTGAGCTCTTCCAAGTACAGAAGTGTGCTGAAGTGTACGGCGGTCCTCTCGAAACTTTAAATTGCGCCCCTTGCCGCGTCGTCCTTCACCACCCAGCCCGCCCAACGCTCCTGCTTCCAACCTCACAAGCAATCATGGGCTGCATCTCGAGCAAGGCCGACTCGGCGGTAAGCTTGCCGCCTCTGCCACTTGCACTCAGAGTTCGCCGCCTCTCTAGCATGAGCGTCGCTATCGGCTGCTCTGTGACCGATTTGCTGCGTGCCGGGGGCCGCCGCCCCGTTGTGGCCGCTGGGAACACCTTCGATTGCGCCATCTCTGCCTTGCCCCCGCACCCTGCCGTCGCACACGCGGCGCCGCTGAATTTGGGGCCGCTGCACAATCTGGCTCCTGCCGCCAAACTGCTAGGACGGGCGGCCTCACCGCCCTGCCTGCGGGCGCCGCCCCCTTGCGCCCCCTCCCTGCACTCTCCTGTTTTTGGTTTCTTTGGTCTCCAATTTTACGCCAGACTCCCGAGGGGAGAAGGGGAGGGCATAAAGAGAAAAAAGATAATAATAAAAAAGATAAGTGTCTGCCAAGTCAATCCACACAGACGCACCCTTGTGCACAAACCTGATAATGCAGACGGTGGACAAGAGCGTGGAGGCCGCGGCCAAGAACAAAGACAAACTCGAGGCGGGCATCAAGAGCGTGAGTGGCATCACGAGCGTCAGTTTTTGCCGGCAGAAGCTTGGATCAGCACCTAGCAGCACACCCGAACCACCAAATGACAGCATGCGCTCTGCCGCGAGGCACTCGAGCTCTTTGCCCCTGGCCGCGGTGCGTGCAGGCTGGCGCCAAGGCCGGCATCTCCCAGACCGCCCTGGATGCTGGCGTGAAGAAGGTGCGCCCAGCTTTGCCTGTGGACGGGGACCATAGTGTGAGCACTGTAGCTGTCTGCGCCATGCTCTGCAGCCCTCATCTGGTGCCCCTCCTCCCTGCCTGTCGCAGGTGGATGCGGCCCTCTCTGACAAGGAGGGGCTGAAGAGCACCATCAACAAAGCGCTTGGCAATGAAACAACCCCGGCTGCCGCCACTGAGGCCCCCGCTGTCATGGCGCAGTAAGCGGCCGAGGCCGTGCGCTGTGCCTGCTGCTCGCAGCGGCATGGCGGGAGCTCATGCGGCTGGACGAAGCGCACGTCGGGGCGTCCATTCACTGTACCGCTGGCGGCGCAGCCTTGGCACCCTCCCGACCTCCAAACTCAACAGCCAGCCCCAAACTCAAAGCTTGACGTCCCCAGTCTCAACATGCCTGACGAAGCGTGCATTGATTCATTCTGGTGTGACTTACCTGATCCCTGCTGTGCGTGTGCGATATTAGAGCGTGTGTTTTATTTCCTGATATATTGGCATGCGGGCCAGCCATGGCGCAGACCCAATCTGCGACCTGCCGCAAGCAGTCGCAGCCCCATGCCAACACACCCAACTACCGATTCTATTGTCAGCACATGTAAACATCAGCGAGTCAGCCATTTGCTGCAGCATGAGCCTCCCACCATGAGCCGTCGCCATGGCATGCCGATGTGGTGGCATGGTAGCGCCCTGATGTCGCATGCATGCCACTCTCCTTGCATTGTGTGTGCATCCCACTTGTGTGTCTTTGCCCTTCCACCTCTCCTCCACCAATACAGAGCCCGATACCGCGAGGCAGCTCAGCAGCAGATCACCTGGCGACCGCGCGAGTCTTGCAGCCGTCCGCAATGGCGGTAGCAGAAGGACCCGATGTTGTGGGAAAGGTGAAATGGGGCGCCACCAGCACGCATGTTGTTTGGCAGCAGACATTCGAGGGCTGCGAGCCCTGCTCTGTGCCGCCGCCCCAGGAGAGTGCTGCACGATCTCCAGTTCCAATCGTGCAGGAGCGCCGCGCGGTGCAGTGCACACCCGCCCCGCCGCCGCCGCGCGCCTGCGCCTGCCTGCTGCCGTCGACGCCCTGACCAGCGCGCTGCAGCCGTGCGGCCCACACCATGCGTGCGTCCCTGGCCCTGGCCGCCCCTGCCGCAGAGCGTGTTCCCTGGCGACGTGCTGATGGCGCTGCCGGAGACGGGGGTGGTACGCATCGGCGGCGGCGTGCAGCAGGATGGCGAGCTGCTGGTGGCCACCAAGGCGGGGGTGCTGCGCCGAGAGGCCAAGGGCGGCAAGCTGTGGGTGGAGGCGCGGCAGAAGAGGTGGGGCGGCTGGCGGGGGAGCAAGCGCATCGCCGCCAGCCGTTGCCGCATCGTGGGACGAAAGCCTGCCGCTTTCCTGGGCCGTGGCGCTGCCCGTACAAGCCGCGAGCTTGGCGCCGGGCGCTGCGGGTCAGCTGTCAAGGTGGTTTGGGTGCCCCGCCTGCATCCCTCCTTGCAGGTACACCCCTTCCCCCGAGGACGTCGTCATCGGCAGGATCACAGACAGGCACTCGGGTGGGCGCAGCCGCCAGCGCCGCAGCTGGCGTGCCCGCATGCGCCCGTATGCCTGCTGCGCCCCTTTGGCGGCTCCCTGCGCTCTGCGGCAGGCCGCGCACACGCACACGCATGCACACACACGGCACGCCCTCCCTCGCTCCCCGCAGAGAACTACGGCGTCGACATCGGCGGCCCCTTCCGCGCCCTGCTGCCCGTGCTGGCCTTTGAGGGCGCCACCAAGCGCAACCGCCCGCACCTGCAGGTCGGTGACCTGGTGTACGGGCGGGTGGAGTCGGCGCACAGGGACCTGGAGCCGGTGCTGTCGTGCATGGATGGCGCGGGCAAGGTGGGGGGCTGCGCGTGCGCCTGCATCACGTGTGTGTGTCGGTGTGTGCCTTGGGGCGTGTGTCGTGGAGCCAGCGGGGCCGAGGCGTGTCGGCCGGGTTCCTGTTGTGCTGCTGCCGTGGCAAAGTGGTCAGGTGGGGGCGCAGCCGATTCGCGGCGGAGCAGCGCCTTTGGTGCCCCTCCTGCCTGCCCTGCTGCGGATGGCTCACCACTGCCTGCACGTGCCTGCCTGCCTGCCTGGATGCAGGCCTCTGGTTTTGCCCAACTGAAAGGCGGCATGGTGATTGAAGTCAGCACCACCCATGCGCGGTCGCTGCTCAGGTGGGCCCTGCAGGGGTGGGTGGCACCAGAGGCGCAGCAGGGCGAGGCATGGCAGGGCACTCGCGCCGGTGCAGACCTGCGTGTGTGCTGCTGCGGCCCCCGCCGGCGGCTGCTCCTGTGCCCAATTGCCGCTGCCCCCTCCTCGCCCGCGCGCGCCTGTACCGGTGCAGCCGGCCGCCAGCGGCGTTGCTGTCGGCGTTAGGGCGCTCGCTGCAGTTTGAGCTGGCGGTGGGGCTGAACGGGCGGGTGTGGCTGGATGCCCCCAGGTGGGTGGCTGCCTGCTTGGCTGGCTGCTTGCCAGCAGTGCGCAGGCGCGGTGCCTGCCTGCCTATCGCAGTGTACAGGTGGAGCACCTGCCTGTCCCTGCTGCCAGCCCTGCCTGGCTGTCTGGCTGTAGCTGGCTGCAGCTTGGCGCTGGCTCCTCACGCGCTTGCCCTGCTGCCTGCTCTACCTGCTTGCCCCGCTGCTGCCTGCAGCTCCTCAACCGTCATTCTGGTGGCCAACGCGATACAGAGCAGCGAGTTTCTGACGGCGGCGCAGCAGGAGCAGCTAGTGGCGGCGCTGCTCAAGGGCAGCAGCGCGGCGGCGGCACAGCGGCGCCAGCAGCAGCAGCAGGAGCAGCAGCAGGTGGAGCAACAACAATAATGGCCGGCGGGGGTGCCGTCGTGCGTGCAGTTGCTGGCTACATGATGACTGACAGGGAACCTTGACTCTGCAGCTCCTCAGCTGTAACCTCAACTGTTGCGAGGGAAGGGGGGGCTCACACCAGCTGCGGCTTTCGGCCTGCGCTTGCCGCTGGGGCGATAACACGTGGCCGCCGCTCGACGGCGGCAGCAGGGCACCCTGTCAGTGCTCGGGGCTTCCTGCATCTCTTGTTGATAGCCCTCGAGCAAGCTAAACAACAGCTTTCTGAAGCTTTGCAGCGGGTGTCTCGCTCCCCATCCACCTGCAGCTGCGAGACATCGGTCCCGATGATGCATGGTAGTCCGCTTTCGGTCGAACAGCTCGGCGACAGCCTCTGCGGGCCTTTCCTGGCGTACCCCTTGGCGGGATAAGCTGTCTCAGGCGGTGAAGCCCCGAAAAGATGCCTGAATTGGGCTGCTGGCCACAAAAGAAAGTGGCTCGTTACCTCTCAAAACGCGCCGGGAATCCCCGAGCGCCCGAACCAGAAGAGAGATGGCCGCGCAGGCCACGAGCGGCCCCCCCACCAGGGGCCAGGTGCGGCGCACGGCCGCGGGGTGGGAGGCAGGATTCAATCAACTGCTGGTGGGCGTTTATGCCACGGAGGAGCTAGCGCAGCGAACATTAGACATACTGCACCTCAAGGCGGCCGCCGATAGCCACCAACCAATGGAGCGAGTGGAGCTGCTGCTGCCCTTAGAGGTGCGCAAACAGGGCCCCAGCTGATCCTGAAGCATGTGCGAGTGGTGCGCAGGGGCGCCGGGCGGTTCAGGCGCCCCGGGGTTGCCCCGCGCCCCCATCGAAGTTCTCATGCCAGCCCCCAGTCATCTGGCTGCTCCCATCGTGCTGCTGGGCCTCAACCCGCCGCCTGATGGGCACTGCATCCCCGCAGAACTACTTGGATGCGCGCACGACCGCGGAGCTGCACTCCTTTGACCTCGCGGCGGTGCTGGCGGCGGTGCGCAGCTACGCGGTCGGCGCCGCCCGCGCGCCGCGCTGCGGCGTGCTCGACACCACCGTGCCCGCCGGCTCCGAGGATGGCGCCGGCGGTGGCCAGCACCCACACGCCGGCAGCGACGCCGAGCACAGCAACTACCGGGGCATCACGCGGGACAACAACGGGCGGCAGCAGTACTGGATTGCCCTGCTGTACGCCTCGCTAGAGTGAGTGCCCCGTACGCCCCGTCTCCTCCTCTGCTGCCCGCCCGACTGCCTGGATGCCTGTGAGGGATGAGGCGGCGCTGCTGCAGCTGGCGGCTGCGGCTGACCGCCAGCTGGGCTTGCCGGGTTGGGCTGCCTGTGCACGCCTGTCGTTACCGCGGCAGCCATCACGGGCAGCGCTCGCCCGGCCGCCAACTGAAGGTCGCGCCGCCCACCGGGGACAGCAGCCCCTGCCCTGCTGGGCACGCCGCTGCAGCGCTGCGCGCGGCGCCATCGCCCGCTGCGTCTGGCTCTGCACCTGCCGCTCCCTAGGCCGCCCGCAGCTGACGGCCCCTCCTCTCGCCTCCTCTCCCGACGGTCCACCCCCTGGCCTGCCCGCCCGCCCGCCTGCCCGCCCGCCTGCGCCTGCAGCAAGAGGAAGCGACCCGTGCCTCCCGCGGAGCACGGCAAGACCAGCCTGTACATAGCGTGCTGCCGGAGCGCGCTGGAGGCGGCCGTAGCCCATGACCTCGCCGTCATGTGGTGGCGCCTGGGCACCAGCTACGCACACCTGTGGGAGCCGGGGGAGCAGGGCCGGCAGCCGGCGCAGCAGCAGGCGCAGCAGGCGCAGCAGGCGCAGGCGCAGCAGCATGTGGAGGAGCAGCAGCAGGAGGAGGGGGGGCGGCCGCAGGATTCGCAGCAGAATGGCGAGCAGCAGCAGCAGCCGCAGGAGGGGGGGCGGCCGCGGGATTCGCAGCAAAATGGCGAGGCAGAGCCGCAGCAGGCGCAGCAGGATGGCGAGGCGGCAGGGCGGCAGCAGGGAGGCGAGCCGCCACCGTCCCTGCAGCAGCAGCACCACTACCAGCAGCAGCAGCAGCAGCAGGAGGAGGAGGAGGGCGAGGGCGGCGGCGCCGACGCGCTGCCAGAGGGCCGGATGCCGGCAGTGGTGGAGTGGGTGCCCGAGAAGAGCGTCCTCAAGCAGCTCAACTTCCTGCCAGAGCTGTGAGGGGCTGCTGCCTGCTGCTGCCTGCTGCTGCTGCCGCCACCGCTGCTGCTGCCTGCACTGCCGCCGCCGCTGCCGCTGCTCTGTTTTCAAGTTTCGGGGCTGTGGCCGGTCCTGGGGCTGCCGGCCTGGGTGCCTGCGTCGCTGCTTTTGGGGCTGCGCCGTGATGCGCTGCTGCTCTGCCGGAGCTGCCCTGTGGCTGGGGCGCTGCTGCTCTTGGGGCTGCCTCGCCGGGCGTGTGAGTCCCAAGATGCACCTGCCCTGCCCTGCCCTGCTGCAGGTATGCCAGCAACCAGCCGCTGATGCGTCAGCTGCTGCAGGCCCGCACGCTGTCGGGCCTCCGCACGCTCGTGTCCCAGATGCGAAACAGCGGCGCGCTGGGCAGCCTGGCGGCCTCGTGCCGCGCGCAGCGCCCCTCGCCGCCGCCCGGCGAGGCGGCGCCGCCGCGGCCCGCGCCGCTCGCCGCCGCCGCGGGCGCGGCGCTGCGGCGCCGCCCGCGCAAGCCGCCCGGCGGCGGCGGCGCCCAGCTGTGGCGCGCCGGCGGCGCCGCGCAGCCGCCCGCCGCCGGGCGCGCCTGCGACGCGCCGCGGCCCAAGGTGCTGGCCGCGGCGGTGCGGGAGCGGCAGGCGGCGGCGCCTGTCGGCGGGGAGATGGGCAAGCATGGGCGGCTGCACGACAAGCCGTACATGGGGCTGGTGCGGGACCGACAAATCACGCTGCACCCCTGGCGCCCCATGATCTGCGCCGTGGTGGAAGGTG